CATGTACAAAGGCTGAGTCCTTGCTGCAGTAGCCATGGGTTCAAATCCGAATCCTAAGTAAAAAACTAACAAGTAAAGGCAAAAAGCCCCACAAAATATATATACATTTAAAAAAACTATGCATTGGCACAAAACAACAGCTATCTGCTGTTTGTAGACTCAGTCTAAGAATATGTGGATACCAGTCTGCACATAAAGTACAAACTCAAATTTAAACAGATTACATACCAAGATTAAGTGTGCTGTTTAACTAATCCACCTCAAATCAAGTTGTGTTTGCTCTCTAGAGTCAAAATATTTGTGTGTGTGTGTGTGTGTGTGTGTGTGTGTTTAGGGCGGGCCCATGGCGCTGATGACTTCCTGCCTGTAATGATGTACGTCCTCGCTAGATCCAATCTGTCCAACCTGCAGCTGGATGTGGAATACATGATGGAGCTGATGGACCCATCATTAGCACTAGGAGAAGGTACATACACACGCACAGACACGCACATTTCTTACTGACGAATCTATGTGTTTGTTAGATTATTGATCATGCCATTGTGTGTGTGTGTGTGTGTGTGTGTGTGTGTGTGTGTGTGTGTGTGCGCATGTAGGTTCCTATTATCTGACTACCACCTACGGGGCTCTGGAGCACATTAAGACTTTCGACCAGCAGAGGTCAGCCACACGGCAGCTCAGCAGAGAGGTTCAGGACTCCATCCACCGCTGGGAGAGACGACGCACACTCAACCAGGAACGCATGTCCCAAGGATCTGTTCGGGTACACACACACATATAACATTGTCAATAATGTCACACTGTGTGATCTGGAAAGGTCAGAGTGACTCACAAGATGAAAGAGACATTGAGGATTTGCATGGATGCTGCCAGTCTTAGTGTGTACGATGGCTGAAAGCACAATATGATTAAAATGCAATATTCATGAACAAATAGTTAGAACAGAACAAATAGGAAACCACACTGATAGATGTACAATGCATAGTGCTTATATTTGGAAAAAAGAAAGCACAGAAGTATCCAAACTGTCACAGTTGCGCTCACAGACCTCCATAGAGGAACAAGCTGAGCTGTGTCCATACTGTTATCTTAGAGTAACTTTTCTGTGTATGTGTATGTGTGCATAGGACTTTCTGACAGTGTGCTGCCCTGAGATTGGAACCAACCCAAAAACTCTGGGCGTCCTCCCGACCACGACAATCCAACAGCTGGCTGAACAGTGTGCTGCACGCTTTGAACAAGGTAAATGTCTGAAAGATGCTGTTACATATTGCTATCAGCCCTGGGTTGTTACACAATTCAGTTCCTGACCTTATACAACAATATAAATAATATGATTTTAAAAGTACTGCTCTCAAATTCAAACTATTTAAAGGGGTACTCCAGCAATTAAATAATGCACTTCCATAAAGTTCAGGGACAGATTTTAACAAAGAAATTTCAACATTGATCAAACGGAGGATGAGATATCCTGACCTTCAATCCACAACACTGCTCGATCCTACACTTAATTAGGCAACCTCACACAGTACATTTATTTTCTCAAACATTTATTGAAGCAGACATCAAGCTCTAGATGATACAACTTAATTTCAGCATCTCTGTGTGATCAACCCCTTACATTATCACTACATTATTATTATTATTCTCAGGGTAATGCCTCCTTGTTTCTTTCTCCCAGACTCCTACATGCTCAGTGTGTATATGGATGATGCCCACCGGCCCCTGGCCCCTACAGAGTTGGCTGTCAGTGTCAAGAACAGCTGTCAACCTGGAGCCTACTGCTTCGTCTATCACCCTATCGACCAACTCAACAACCAGCCCGGCCGCAGCTGCCCCACTGACCCACCCCCAGCTCCTCCGGCAGAAAGCTTTTTCCCAGCTGACATAGCGGTTGTCGATACTGTGGAGCCAGAGCCAGAAGAGGAGAGTCTGATTAGCTTGTAATTGCTCCAGCATCACAGTGGCAGCTACTGTATCACAATAGTAACAACATCACTGTGGTGACTGCATCAACAAAAGAAGAGGGGAACAACATTTGAAGTGAAGTGTTTAAATCTCAGGTCTCTCTTGAAATATTGATCGAATTTAAACTTAACTGATGTGGATTTGTGCATGCAGGATATCACAAAATATTGTATGTGATGAAACGTGTGCCTTGTTTTAAATTACTTTTATATGAGTTTAAGTCTCTGAGTGGTCCGATGCCACCAAAGGGAGCAGTGACCAACTAAATGACACAACAAAGAGATAAAAGACTGATTTTGTATTGCACCATGGGGTCTGGAACTCCAGGGACTGCTGGACGATATGTTTTTGTACAATGTAAAACTACATGTAATTCTAACATGCACATATATGATATATGATCATGTTTATACTGTTTATACTCTATGATACTTAATTTTACTCTCTCTGGTGCTCAAGACCTCTGCTTCAGACAGAGGTAGAAAGTCCTTTTGTGGCAATTTCTATTCAAAGCACAGGTATAGTAGCAGCTATATGGAGAACTTTCATTTACATTCAAAATCTCCAGTAAGCATCAAAAGGGTTCATTCCACATTTGTCTTCTATATACTGATTGTACTGTAAATAAACTGGCTTTTACAATTGTCAATGCTGTTTCTTGTTTAACTAAAGGAGTTGCAGAGCTTAACAATGTTTGTAAAGAATATACATATGTTCCAATATCAAACAATACTGATTCACAAATGCTTTATAGATCAGGAGCAACGTTAGCAGTTCGGTAAGATAAACGATGATGACAAAAGTAGAGCAGACCGCAAACTATGCTCTGTTATACTGTCAAGAGGGGTAAAAAGTAGCTCCTTTAACACATGGAGCATCTGATGAAAATAAAAATTCAAGTTATTGTTATGGTGCGTCCCCACCAAAGCCCAATAAAATTATTTGCACAAGCAGATTACATACAAAGTCAATGCAAAGACGTATAAACATAAATTTGCTCTGGCCGCCGCAAATGACGTGCAATTTGGCCACACGAACGACACAAGCGTGAAATTTGTCCAGTTCGATTTGAAAATTGTATAATTTATATTATTAATTAATTTTAATTAATTGTATTAAAAATGTGCGCATATCACTGGGTCATGCAGTGTTGACAGACCCAATAAAGTATGACTTTTACAAATTGGCATCATGATGTTATTTTGGCATCCTTTTCATCTGTTAATTAACATTAAATCACAGCTAAAACTGTTTATTATAGGCTCATACCGCTGTAAACCAGATTAAAGGGTGAATAATCTCTTTGCGTTTGGTGGAAACACGCCATTAGAACAGTAATGGTATTATTAAGTACTCATATCGTCTGTATCGGCAAGTACCCAAAAATTAAATACTTGTACTTGCTCTGTGGTATTGGTGCATCCCTATCTGAAACTATAACTAAACTAACATTCGAACGGAAATGGGGACAATTTCTTGGAGAGAATTGTAAGAAAGTATGTGAGATCTAATCTTAAAAGCAACAGCATGAATGCCTTCAAGGAGAGACTCTTTAAAGTGTTTGTACGCTTCATTGCGTTGAAGCACAATTCCCAAAGGGACTATAACGGCAAGCTTTTTACTCTGGGCTTCAGCTGTTGCCATTCAGAGACCGTTAGTCAGACGACAACTCATACGAACTAGTTTGTTCCAAGTAAAGAAAGCCCCTAACCCTGTGCCTTCTGCTCTGCTCTTTAGCTATATTCTATATCTAGATCACGGACAGTATTAGTGGTCTATGCTGATGTCAGGGGTGTCAACAAACTTTGATATCAAAATTATTTAAAAAACACCAAACATCATGATTCAGTCATGTTTCTCCAGAATTTGACCATTGGCTTATCATTGGTTTGTCGTTTCCAACAAATGAATACATAAACAATTCAGTGACAATGGCACAGATGGGAGTTGACAGAATTTCTGATGAGGTAGTGTTAGGTCACGCATGCTTTGTGTCTGAAGCTTGTTATTCTCTGTAAGGTCAGTGTGTTGCAGAGCCCTTGTTAGGGCCAGCTGCTTCCTGTCTGCAGGTCATTATTTCCAACAAGGCCCATAACGAGGTCCTTAAACAGTAACAAGTAACAAACTCTGTAGAATCTTCAACATTTTACCTTTTGTCTTGTTTCCATTTCAGTAGCAAAGGGGCAAAGTATCAAATATACCACCAGCGAATGGAAACATCAATTTTTTTCTATCACTTCTGTTAAAGCTTTGGAGATGGAGGGTTTCTTGATACTGACACACTAACAAGGTGTCTTTGTACAGTAGTAGCCAGAAAAAGCAATTAGACATAAACTGATTTGTCTAGGAAACGTTTACTATGCAGAGCTCTCATACTTCACAGTATCAAATCTAAAAATGCCTTTAGTCAACAGGTGTTTTACGTAGGTAGTCTTGGATAGAATGGTCCTTTGATGAGGTAAGCTGAGTTGAGGAAGATGGCATGATGGAGTTATTTATTGTTTTTATTTTCATTCATATTTTCACAGTTCCCACTACATTTTAATACATAACTCCCAGCTCCACTCACTCAGAACCAAATCTAGTTCCAACTGTGGAGAAGGTTTGACTGGGTAGCCAGATGTCTAATTTGTCACATCATCTCTCTATAAATCATTATAGGTGAATGAATAGTAACCACTAGCTATGAAAATGACATCTGTTTCTACAGTGATGTTGGAGGTGTTTATGCTTGCGTGACAAATTTAATATATTTAGGAAAGTGAAAAATAATGAATGTTTCCACCCTTGGATACACTTAAATTCTACACCCTTTCACCAAGTTTCATGAAAATTGGGCCAGTAGTTTACAAAATTCTTAGCCACTTTGGAAAAAAGGATAACTTGCTGCACGCCTGAAATATTATCTTATGCAAATGTGTGACGTGAAGGGTGAACTTTAGTTGACTGATTCTACTGCTTCTCAGGTGGATGTGTTGTCTTCTGTCTGTTTAAGCACGCGTCTCAAAGTTGGACTTCTGAGGGTTAAAGGTCCAGGCGTAACACACGCAGGAAATTCGCAGTGCCAAACTAATACAGGTGACAGGAAATGACTTTTCACAAGTCACGGTATTTTTTGTTGTTTTTGTTTATCTACCTTACACTTTTCTATTTCTGTTTCCCCTAATGGAACTGGCCTCGCTGTGTTTGGACTGCTGGGTTGTTCTGTAAAGCGGCTGTGTGCAAGTCTACGGTGGTTGAAATCGTCTTGTCACTAAAAACGGACTGGAGTTTTTAAAACCCCCACCACCACCCACGCATATACCAAGCATACCACACCCCTTTCCCCAGGTTCAACAACTTTGCTTTAGCGTGCAAGAGGAACAGGCCCCAGGTGGAAGTGCTTTTAGCTTTTGGATGTTCCCATTTCAACGACCTTAGTTCTAGTGCTGTTGTGGGAGAGGGCCCTCTTTAATGAAATCATTATAGTGCTTCTGCGGTATGGTTTGCAAGTGTGGTATCATACAATGGTGGCAGATTAACCCAAACACTGGCATGGATTGTTTCTCTCTAAGGACTAAGCATTCCTTCGCAGAAATTCTATTATATATAATATATATGTAATATATTATGGTTTGGGAAAACAAGACATTATTGTATCTTCACAATGCCAATCCACTGCCTGGATTTGCCTGGACAAGACTGAAAGGAAACACAGCCTTGATGATCATCTTAAAATTACCA